AGCGAAATGGCGTAGAAAAAAGGCGCTCCCCGATAGCCACAGGCAGTTGCCGGTGTTGAGGGACCAGTCGGCATCCAGCAGGAGCTCCTCAAAGACCTGCGGAACACTGCAGTGGCGTGGGGATGGGGTCCCAAGAGCCTGGTGGGTGCCAGCGCGTGTTGGGAGGCATCTCCTGACCTTCAGCCCTTCCTCCCAGGAGACCCAGAGGTCCCCGCGGGTGAGGAAGCAGGCAACAGCGTGCCGAGCGAGGTGGTGGATCCAGCCCTCGGTGCGCAGCTGGGTCATGATGGCATCGATGAAGGGGTATCCTGTCCGGCCCTGGCATGGGGTGCTGGGGTTAGGGGGGTGTTTTTTCAGGGGATCAAAAGACTCTGGGTTTATCCCTGAGGAAAATACCTCCCTCCAGGCGTGGAGGTGCTGGGGGTTGTCGTCCCACTCGACCTGCAGGCAGACGGGGTTGCCAGCCATCCGATCAAAATTGGGGATGCTGGCACCAGCAGTGTAAAAAAACTCCCTCCAGAGGAGCTGCCCATGCAAGGAGACAGGGGGCTGGGAGTGCTCCCGCTGTGGGCAAAGGCAGGATCAGCCCCTCTGGCTGGGCTGGCTCCTGCCTTCTCCAGTCCCCCCCACCCCTTCTGCTGGGTCCCTCTGGTTCACCCTCTTCCCCCGCCACCTGAAAAATGCTGCCTTACCCCCTGGTAAATCTCATCCAGCCGCCACCAGAAGGTGCGGACCGACAGGCAGCCAAATTTGAGGTAGGGGCTGAGGACAGTGGTGCTGGGGCTCAGTGAGGTGGGCTCTGTCTCAGGCTTCTTGAAGTTGCACACCCAGGCCTGGTGGGGGGGGACACACTGGGGTCATGTTTTGTGATGGAGGGGAGGCGAAGTAGCCCTGAAATTAGGGTGATGGGTGCTGAGCACTGACCGTCCTCTCCATAAGGGTGTCGAGCCGAGCGAGTGCTGCTGTCTCTCCACCAGGGTAGAGGTGAGGACCCACCTTGGCGGGGTCCTGGCCCAGCTCCTCCAAGGTGGGGACCCTGTAGTCACCATCATGGCTGGCCTGGCATGGGGTGAGGCAGCCTGGGGAGCCATGTATGGTGATGGCTGTCACTCCGCTCCAGGATGAACATGGGAGATCCTGACCCAGCTCCTTGCGCTACCCCTAACAAGTTTGTCTGATTCTCACCCTGGAGGTGCTCCTGTGTGAGTGCTGGGGCTGGCTTCTCTGGAGGTCCCAGCAATGCCAGGAGGCTCTGCAGGCGCTTGTAGGTCAGGGGGGCTTTGCCATCGTTCAGGGCGAGGACTCTGGGATGGGGGAAACAAAGGGTATGCTTGGCACTGGGGCTGGATCCTTTGTGCTCCAAGGGGTGGTGCCAGGCACTAACCTCTCAGTGTCGTAGAGGGTGTGGGACACCTCCCGGATCACCTCCACGCCGTGATCGCGCCGGCAGGCAGAAGGTTCGGTGTCCACCTCAAAGGTCAACCGCGTCGTCCCCCAGGCATGGAAGAGATGGGGGAACACCTCCTCTGGGCAGCCCTGTGCCACGAACAGCCTGCCGGGGAGCCAGGTGGGCATGAAGCCCCTCAAGACCCTGCCCCAAATCCTTTGGGGATGGCACTGGAACTCACCTGGAGCCCATTTCCTGCAGGCTCCCATCCAGGTCCCGCAGAGCATCGAGGAGGAACCGCTGGGCATTGATGCCTGCCCGATTGCTGGAAGGGTGGAGGATGAAGGGGGGATGAAGACGGCGGCAATTGGTGGCTGCCGCCAGCAGTGCCGGGTTGTCGTGCAGCCGGAGACCTTTCCGAAACCAGTGGATGGAGCTGTGCTGCATGCCTGAGGGGTCCCGCAGGGGTGCGACCTGGGAAAAGAGAGATGGGGGGCAATTTGGGGAGTAAAAACCACCTTGTTTGCTAAATCTAACTCATAAAAGGAGCGTGAGTGGCAGAGATGGATCCGTCTGTGTCTGGTTATAAAACCAGGGAGGGAAACTGGTCCGGGCTTGCCGGTGAGGGCTGGGCGCGGTGACGCCCAGCCGGCAAAGGCATCTGGCGGATGTGGGAGGGAGGCCCCGGGGAGGGCGGCTTCCCAGCCCCCGCGGGATCAAGGCCGACTTCCTCTGCCTTCGCTTCCGCATGCCCAGGCGGAGCCCGGACCTGCTGCCATCCAGGGATCTCGGGGGGAGGCTGGGGGAGCAGGCAGGGGAGGGAGGGGGGGGGCAC